CTTCCAATTTCCAAAGACATTAAAAGTTCTCAAAGCAGATTGAAAGCTCTTCAGGAGCTGAACTCATGATCCCTAACACTTTTCACAAAATAATTTTCTTGCCTATTCTTTGTGCCCACACAAGTCTTTACTTTTCTATCTCCCACACCAGACTTTTGTTTCCCAGTTTTTAATCACTCTTTAAGCTTCACCTGCTCCTTTTAAATCCTCTAATTAAGCAGAGTCTGATCTAGATGTATCACTCACCTCCACAGAGCCTGCAAGATTTCGTACATTGCTACCAGAAGTTTCTGAGTGTGCCTGTACAGGCTTGTAGGAACAGGACCAGAGAGAGCTGGTCAATCTTCATAGTGCTTTTCTTTAAATTATACAATCAACAAATGCAGATATCAAATTATTACTGTTAGATGTGTATCTGAAGAATAAAAAGCTAACCTGGGCCCACAACATATATTCCAATGCAAAAGATGTTCTCCAGTTATCTCATACATCCCAGAATTCAAGTCCCTCACTTAGTAGAAAAATGAATAAATAAGACTCAGGGTAACTTTTCAGTTCTAGTCATCATTCATTTCATTTATACTCAACTCCAATGAGTGGGAAATGATCAATAAATCAACTATATATTTAAGTGGGCCAAAAGATATGAATAAGGGAGAAAAAAACAGAATAATGACTTTGAATTATTTCTGTAGTACCTACCCCCTCTTTCTGGAAATACACAAACCAGAATAACTAGATTCCAAGTTATACAGCTTACCAGATAGGATGCTAGATGAGGCGAACACAGCATGAAAACAAAACTTGCCTTGAAAATACAAGCCATATTTTGAGATCACGGTTAAATTTGAAAAGTATAAACCTCCTCTCAACACACAGTTGCTATGCTCTGAGAAAGCTGGGAAGGGGACACTGTTTGTTTTTTCTTTTTTTTTTTTTTCCTGTTACATTCGGTTAAAATCTCACTACAACAGATAAAACCATTTTCATATTTCTATAGAGTACCAATCTACAAATTACAGACATATTATAGACAGAAATGGGGCCCCCAAAGGATTCAAGAGCCAAACCTATTTACAAAATGTACCTCAGCCTTCCAAAATATTATCTCAACTAAGTTAAGATACAATAAAAGCAGGAGGGAAAGTCACTGAAAATACTAAACCAAAACCTTCCTACCTTCCCAGTTCACCACAGAATACACATATGCATATGAGATATGTGTGTGTGTATACACACACTTGTAATATGTGTGTGCATATATATACCTCACAAAGAACCCAGAACTGATTATTTATAAAAAAAAAAAAAATCTAAGAACTCTGTAATGACTCTATCTTTCTAAGCTCTGAAACAAAAACTATTAGAATATATAAGCTATGAGATGGAATTCAGCTGGTCCTAATAATACTCCAGCTTTTYATAATTCTTTCAAAAGAGTTATAAATCTTGACCTTATACTTAAAATTTAAAAAAAAAAATCTTTCAGGTTCAGAGTTTTGAGTAGAGGTAAAAGGCATATGACAGTGGCAATGACCTAAAACACCCAGCACTGACACTTACAATTACTATTATTCTAACTTCAGAAGTAAAAAATCAAGGTGTAAGACATGGATCAGCTTCCAGAGATCCTTCATCATCCTTTTGCGAAAAAGCACCTGTATCTGTGCACCCCAGCTATCTTGAGTCCTACCTACCCAGATTTTCTTTTCTCCAATATCTAGATTGGTAGAGATACAAATAATTCCTCTGTTCTACTTCTGTTATTTACAAAAGGGAATGTTCTCCAATGTCTAACAGACTGAGTAGACAGAAGGCCCAACCATACAATATAAGGTGCCTATAGTATCTAAAGAAATACAAATGTTGGCTTCTTYTTTGTAAGCACAAAAAGGAGACAAGGAACATAGGCTCTCTAGAAATAAAGAAAATACGGAAGACTGATAAGCCAGGAAGAAAAAGGTACCTATATCCTTCAGTGTATTCATATCAGCTCTGAAATTCACCCAGATGTGGAGCTCACTGCCTAAACCAACAAATACATCTGGTAATAATAAACATTGATAAGTCATAAACAAAAAAGAGCTTTTTAAATTCAAAGACTCTACAAGCTACTGGTAATATTAAAATTTACATAAAATGTAATCAAAGAATATATTAAGAAATGAAGTTTTTATATGGTTTTTAAAAATAAGTTCCTAAGAAATGAGAAACTGTTTGGTTTTTTACTGCCCAGTCTTCAAAACACTAAATTCTTTGATTTGACCAAGTTACAAATCTATTTTCGGCAGACAGGAAAAACACATTGACTCTATTTAACCCAAAGGCAAAAAAGATCATCACTGCAAATCATAATGTTTGAGTTCATGATGAAAACAGGAAACAGACAGGCTGCCCAGGTATAATTATGGTTGCACTCTTAATGTGCCTTCAGGTTCAGCYAAGAATTAAAATCCAGTGAAGAGGGTAAGCAGAATGAACTTGCCTTTCTACCTTGCTACAGAATGCAACTTTTAATAATAYTCCCAGCAACATGTTACATAACCAACAGTAAACAACAATCTGATTCAAACCTCATTAGTAACAACATTCTGCCACWGTCTCCCACTGAAATTAATAGCTCACTTTGCCAGAGGGAAAAGAAATGAGCATATCAATCTACCCATTTCTGTGGCGCCTACCACAGTGAACCAGACCAAAAGATAATACTACTAGATGTGTATAGAACCTACAAAAATTTCATTTTTCCCAGTTCTCTTCCTCTTTTTAACTAAACCATATCATATGGACACATTTAAAATTTAARAGGAAAGTCAGTCCACCTTTACTTCCTATTTCAGCTATGATTTGAAAGTAATAGARACACAAAATGATGAATGGGCATTTATGATAAACAACAGTTTATATGGTAACAGCAGTTAGATAACAAGGACTGACTGCAGGAGCAGCATATAGAGGGAAGGAAAAGAGGATGCATATTGATGATCACACAATGATAAACAAAAATAAAATTTTAAAAATCTAGACATAATATGTATAATCCAAAATTTTAAAACCTGAGCACATATATAACTACTCTGAAGGTTAGAATTTGTTAAATTGTCTCTGAGTTATTTTATATTTATAATTTGAGGTTTTACTTTAGACACCCCCTTCAAAAAAGTTAACCAAAGGGGTTAAATTTAAAATGTATATATAGAATATATACAAAGAATATGTAATAGATCCACAAATAACTTCTTACAGAATTTGGAACACATTAATTTCAAAATGATATCAGATCCATGTGTGATATACTGAGTGTAGGTATTGCTTCTGCAAACAGACACTACCACATTGGCATTTGGCAGAAATATTAAACTATTTGGAATGTTACTAATCTACTGGGACTAAGGCTTTCAACTTTTAAATTAAAATTAAAACTAATCCACTTAGCATTCTGAGTTCTCTAAGGAAATTTAAGGACTCTAGTTTTTAAAAGAATTAAAACAACACTTGTTGCTGGTACAGTGACACATGCCTGTAAAATTTCCAGCGAGGCAGGATGATCGCCAAGTTCAAGGCCAGCCTCAGCAATTTAGCAAAACCCTGTCTCTAAATAAAAAAGATAAAAAGGGCTAGGAATGTAGCTCAGTAGTAAAGTGTCCCTGGGTTCAATCCCCAGTGCCAAAAAAACACTTGGACCCTTTCCCTCAACTTCAGTGAAGCCAAGCCTCAATCTCCACCTATTCCAGTCTTTGTTACTAGATAAGAATACTTTTGGTAGTGCTAGGCAACAGGCATGATGTGACAAACTCAACCAGACTTCAAAACTTTTTCCAATAGAAAGACAAGGTAAACAAGATATACTTAGCACCACACCCATTTAAACGCAAAAGCAGCCAGGAATGCTCCCCGCTCCCACCCACCAGACCTCCAGCTGGTCAGGAAACATTGTCTTTACAGTTCAGATAAAAATCTGGCSTAGGGTGTTCAGGCATTCCTCACCTCTAGGCTGGCCTACGCTCCATTCTCCAATGTCATCAAGACCAGAACTGAAACATTTGGTCAGGAAACGGGCAAATCTCCAAATACCCCAACTATCCTCACCCGGGTTCTTTTTTGCAACCCCAATCTGTTTTTGCTATTGAGCATGCTCGGACTTAAGACAGGCGCCACAAGGGAGTTTTCAAAGCTTAGGCTCCAAACTCCACGTAATAACAGCAGTTGAAAAGGGAAGAAGGAAAAAGGGAAGGTGGCGGGGGGCTGGAAAATGAATTTAGTTCTAATATTTAAGGACCTGGCAGGGGTGAACACGGTGATGGGAAGGAAACATTGCTTGGGCATTCTCCTTTGCGGCTTACGGAAGTTTATATGAAGTACAAGAAATCTTTGCAATGCTGAAAGCTGACATGGCAAGTGGTGGAAACCAGATCTAAGTACCAGCTGAGTGCAGCAGCAGGTCACCAATGCCCAGAGTGTAATTCCCACCGATAAGCGTGRATCCTTATCTTTGAAACACAAAGAACCGGCGGCACAGATTCATCAGACCATTGAACACCTTTGCGGTGCAGCAAATCTAGCTGCTCCACTGAACAGGGCAATCCTATCAGGGGTGTGTATCGAGGGTGGTGCTGAGAAGCGGTAGGGTAGCAAACTGATCCCCTGAACGTAAGTGGTACCGGGGAGCCCTTCGGGATAGTCCAGAACGCTTGCCTCCACCTTCCGGGCGCGAACCGCGAAGGTGGGACAAGGGCCAGAACCGGTCCCGCCTCAGGACGTCCCGGACCGCAGGCGAGGCCTCTGCAGCCAGCTGGACAGTCTCATCCCTGCCCGCCCGGACCCCGACAGGCTGGACTAGGCCTACCTCCCGCCCCACAGGCCCTGGGCCCTTACTGCCCCGCCCGCGACCGAACGCCCCCGCCTCAGCCCGAGCCCGGCTAGGGCCGGAGGACAAGCTGCGTCCGGACAGAGCCAGCAGCCTCCGGTCCCGTTCGCCCGCCCCGGGGCCCCTCACTCACTCGCGGGCCGGCTGGGCGCGCTCTTCTGGCGCCGTCGCTGCGCTTCCCCGCGCTGCAACTTTATTAGCAGCTCGGCCGCAGGACACGCGCAAGGCGCCCGCTTGCCCAGGACCCGGATGAGGGAGGGAGGGAGGGAAGAAGCAAGCCTGGGAGGACGCCCGCTGGGGTCGGCGCATGCGCGCCAGGACCGAGTGACCGCTGCGGGGAGGAAGGGAGGGCCACCTTATCCCGGCAGCCCAAGGAAGCCTCGGCGCTTGGCTTTGAGCCTGCAAACCCCAACTTCCGATCAGTCCTAGGCTCTTCGCGTCAACGGCCAGGCCTGCGAGTGGGAGTTCGTTGTAGGCAGTAGCTCCCTCTACAAAACAAATGGACACACATTATCATAAATTGTCCTGGATATGGACAGTTGGAGATTCCTCTGCTATATATAAAGTGCAAGCAAAGGTATTTTCAAACATAAGTTGGCTACTTTTATTTATTTATAATAAATCTGAACGGAAAAGAGTCCTCTTACTGTGGAAAAGTTGCTTCAAAGCAAGTTTCTGAACAACTTACAGCTTCCTCCTGGATGCAGCCATAACTGAAGAAGGGCAATCTTGAAGCCCTGGAATTCTCACTCCTCCACCTCCTGGATATGCAGGCCTGGACAAGTGGGCCAAGGGTGCAGAGAGGACACTCACAGGCTGATAAATGTCACCCCTCTGTTCCCAGTGATTGAGATTCTCCCCTTTACCCTCCAAATTCCCCAAAGTGTTAGCATTTCCCAGAATATGATACTGAAACCACCTAGGGCACCTGATTTGGAAAGCACTAGTGAGGAAAATTTTTAAATACTTTTGTTTTAATTTTAAAAGGTCAATACTGGTTTTCCACTATTCC